AAGGGTGCCAAAGTGGGTTGTAGACGGCAGTGCAGCAGGATCACCCAAGTAGGCACCGAGATGTCCCCATAGCAAGACAGGATCATGAGGGGGAACTGAGAACATGTAATCCTTCAAAAGATGTGATTGAGGACCGTGATAGTACCGCCAGAAGCAAAAGGTTCACTTCCCAAGTGTTGGCCTCAATTTGGGGAGACAAGGAAAAGAGATCCGACATCAGAGTACGTGAAAAATGACGGGACATAAGCACAAGGGGGGTTAGCGCTTAACCCCGGTACAGGCCCAAAAAAGAGCCAGGAGACTACTCCAGCAGAATTGTGGGGAGGGTGGGTTGGATACAAACAGCCAGAGTCTTGACTGACTTGGTTTTGAAAGATGTGCAAGACGGGGAGAGAAGGGAAGGGACGGATTACCAAGACACAACTGGGGAAAGAGAGAAAATGGAAAGGTGGGGCAAGAAGTCAGAGAGGGAAAGCTCCTTTTGACTTCGAATTCCTACCTTGAGAGTCTGATATCATCTGGGAATGGGTTTGTCTTGGTACTTGCAAGGAGCAGTGTTGGCTACTGAAGTGGGCCTGGGCCTGGGCCAAGAGTTTATTTCCCCCACTAACGCAAGGACAAAACAGAGAAAATGAAGAAAGAACCGGAAAATGTGGGAGGTTTAACTATTTCTACATTTTGTTTTGAGGGAGCAGGAGGGCGGGTAATTGAAAAGTTGAAGTTCAATTACTAGTGCCGCATAGAGAATACAGAAGATGAAAAAAGGGATGATCTTGGTTGAGTAGCTCACTGTATTTGGGGATATTGAACTGAGGAGAAAATTGTCTAGTGTTCAGGAGCCTGAGGATGTACACTGAAGTCCATTCTTGAGGAGAAAGGTAGCAGCGGGTGCAGAGAGGGTTCACAGGTGGGAAATGTAAGGCTCAGGGCCTTGACATCTGGACACCAGTGAATTTGGAAGATTCAGAAGTTGAGAGGAGAAAAATTTCTCTCCTCACTCCCACTTCTAAATTTCCTCCCTTCTGCGTCCGCACTGCACCAGCAGGTTGCTCATTTTTCTAAGATACATCTTTGGAAAGAAAAATAGTTATATTTGTGGT